CATGAATAGAGAGGAAGAATTGAGAGATTAATAGAGAGATTATCATAGAGGTGTACCACAAAATTATATATGAATAGAGAGGAAGAATTGAGTGATTAATAGAGAGATTATTATAGAGGTGTACTATGAAGAGAAGATGAAAATTTATAACCAAATAGAGAGGAAGAATTGAATGATTAATATAAAGATTATTATAGAGGTATACCATGAAGAGAAGATGAAAATTTATAATCAAATAGAGAGAAATAATGAGAGTTAAAAGAGTAATTATTAGAGAAAACATGAATAAGTTGAAATAACCTAATTAAATGATATTAAATGTAAATATCAAAAATCAAAAACAAATATTTATGTAGGAAAAACTTGAGAAAAAAAAAACATTTTCTTGTTTTGAGAAGAGGCCACATCATTAGATGTGGTTTCTTCTTGTATATATATACAGGGGCGGATTTAGCTTGTAAAAGGTGGGGGGAAAGGCACCCACTAAAAAATTTAAAAAAATGAATTTTTTAAGGGTAAAAGTTGTTTTTTTTACTTTCTACCATGGTTTTCCTCCGTAATTTCTTGTTAGGCCCCTACCAACTAAAGAAAGTATCTTGAAATCAACCAAAAAACTGAAAAGTTTCTCAAAATTGATAAAAAAACCTTAAAAATCCCTCGAAATAATCCAAAAAACTTAAAAAATCTCTTAGAATGGTGGAATAAGGCTAAAAACACATCGGATGACTTTGTGGGCGTTTAAGCTACCTTAAAGGTGCCCCACTAGACCAAAATCTTGGATCCGCCACTGTGTATATATATATATATATATATATATATATATAGATTATAATGTTCCCAGAAGCCGATTCGAAGGAGTTATCGTAGTGGTGGAGTGGGTCTGTGGAGTGTGACTTCCATCCAAGCTTCATCGCCGCCGATCATATCTTTTCCGGCAACCTTCATGCTTCAACCTCACCTTCATCATGGTGAATTTTGTCGTTTGTCTCTCTCATTTTCGCTCTCTCTCTCTCTACTGCCTTTCTTTGGTTATGATGTTTTTCTAATTCCAATTACCCGAATCTAGGGTTCTAATGCTATAACTACTGCAAATCTGGCTGTAAAAGCTAAAAAGGTAAAGGATGGATTGTAGTTTCATACTTTCAGTAGCTAACTTAACAGTAAGCGTTTAGCAACAAACTTCTACTCATTCTTTCCTCAAAGCTGATGTGTAAAGCAAAATCGCTGTAGATTTTGAATGTTTGATGTTTAACGCCAATAATACTTCTCGTTTTCATAGTTGGTGTTCATATCATTAAATTTTGATTTTTTTTTTTTTTGTTTTCCGATCAATTTGAATTGAGAACAGCTTATACTGGTTTCAAATCGATAATAAAGAATTTTTAAAGAATTTAAATCATTTTGATTTATAATAAGTTCTACAATAAGTTGTTTTTATAAACAATCCCAAACATGATTGGGTAGAAAATGCCTTTTCTTTTTTTGATAATGGTGATATCAAATATTTTGGTGTAGTATGTGCATGTGTTAGATTAATCGGACAAAACTCCACTGGTCTAACCTCAAACGATGGTAGCATCCAACAGAATCGAGAATATGATTACTGTAGACCTTTATGGATGGTATGTTAAGCTTTCTGTATGTGTTGTCAATCTGTTTCACTTTGGTGTAGTGGTGTATATTTGTCAATGAGCAATACAACCAATAATGCAGCTTTTGAGTATAAGTCCACATGCTATGTTTGTCAATGACGTTTCCCTTGATATTTGTACCAAACATGTGGGTTTTGAAAACCCCAATGTGGCATCTAAGTTAAAAACAGATGGTGAATCCCAATGTGATGTTAGTGAGTCAGTTTATTATCACCACTAGTTATCTAGCTTTCTTCTAAATCTGCGCAGTGAGATAGAACCAAGGTGAAGTTCTGCAATGACAACCACTGGTTCTAGTGATCCCCCTCTTGTTGCTCAAAGGTAAGCAAACATGAACCAGTTTGAAAGTTGGTTACTAGTTCACATTTGATACAAATTCATGTGTGGGGAATAACGGAGTTTCTTTGTTTGTTTACTGCAACTACAGCTTGATATTTTTTACTTCATCTTTCAGATTGTTAGGGAAAGTTGCGTTGGTAACTGGTGGTGCTACTGGTATCGGAGAGAGTATTGTTCGTCTTTTTCATAAACATGGTGCAAAGGTTTGTGTGGTGGACATTGAAGACGACCTCGGTCAGCAGTTGTGTCGAACTCTTGGTGACACCGCCTGTTTCATTCATGGTGATGTGACCATTGAAGATGATGTTAGTCGTGCAGTTGACTTCTCGGTTGCTAATTTTGGCACACTTGATATCATGGTCAACAATGCCGGGATTGGAGGGCCGCCTTGTCCTGATATCCGTGAATTTGAGCTATCAACATTTGAAAAGGTATTTGATGTAAATGTTAAGGGAACCTTTCTTGGGATGAAACATGCAGCCCGAATAATGATCCCATTGAAGAAGGGTTCGGTTGTTTCTCTATCTAGTGTTTCAAGTGCCATAGGTGGACTGGGCCCACATGCGTACACTGGGTCCAAGCATGCCGTGTTGGGACTCACCAAAAGCGTAGCTGCTGAACTGGGACAACATGGGATTCGCGTGAACTGTGTTTCTCCTTATGCAGTTTTGACGAACCTGGCTTTAGCACATCTGCCGGAGGATGAAAGGACGGAGGATGCCAAGGCGGGTTTTCGTGCTTTTGTTGGGAAGAATGCAAACTTGCAGGGTATGGATTTGGTGCAGGAGGACGTTGCGAATGCTGTAGTATTCTTAGCGAGTGATGAAGCAAGGTATATAAGTGGGACCAACCTGTTTGTCGATGGTGGTTTCACGTGTACTAATCACTCGCTCAGGGTGTTCCGGTAATAGGTTGTAGACATGTTTTGTGTAATAATTGCCTAGATTTACTGAAACAGGTGGTCATATATAATCTGGGATCTTTGTTGTTGGATCTTGCTTATCTTAGCATATTTAATTCATTAAGATCAATTTAATTTCTTGCTTACTTATTTTCATTTTTCGATGTCGATAGAATTTCAGTTCCAATCCCTGAAATAGAAGGAAATCTTGAGAGGATTGGAAAATGGGATATCAAAAAGGGTCCTTCCATATTTAAGGAAATGCTCTAATCTTGTTTGTTTAAACTACTTCTCAACAACTGGGACATCGTCTACATAGGTTTTTTAACTGGAAAAAGGTAGAAGGGATTTGAACCCACAACCTCTAACGTCAGTCGTATTACAACCTAGAGACGAGTTCAAATATCCACGAGTTTCTGAGCTTCAAAAGAGAAATAAACTGTGCTTCTTCCTAGAATATTGTATGCTGCAACTTAACTGCCATTATCTGCAGAAAACCATTACCTTTACCTGGGGGCTGGGGGGGCTTCTTCTAATGCTTGCTACCAAAATTCTTCAGTTAATATGAAGCTTTCCCATGTCGATCATATGCCAACTAGGTTCTACATTCAATTTCCCAGCATCACCACTAGAATTTGATCTAAAATGTGTTCGTACCTTGCTGCTGCCATTGAGTACACCACGTTTCAACCCCTCGGCTTCATTTCTCATGCACTGGTATCGGCCTGTGTTCATAATCTTTTATACATCAAAAAGGCATCGGATTCTAAAAACAGAATTTATGTAACAAGGATCCTATCAATTACTTCTGTAAAAATTTCGATAATTTTTTGTTTACCAATCACATCAGTGTGATTATGGTTCAGTCATAATCAGTTGTTGCTAAACGTAATAGGATCAGGCAATGAAAAACTTACGTTCCATGACAAACTTTTCCTGCTGCAGCCTGGCCAAGTGCTGCTTTAGTTGCTTGTTCTCCAGAGACAAATAAAGACGCTGCTCTACCAGAGAATCAACTCTAACAGCCAATTCTGACACGACATTCTGCATCATGAGGCGACTTTATTAGGTAAATATAATGCCACTTAAACTAGTTAGTACAGGATGTTAAAAGAAACTAAATCCCAACTGGTGGCAAGAGTTGAGATTCAGCCAGTAGATCACATGCTCCATTATAACAACAAAAAGAAAGGAAAAGTAATCATTAAGTGTCTATTGATTGAACACACGAATAGGTTTGGACATGCAGAAATACTTCTCCAACTAGATTATTTTTGAACAAATTCCTCTTGGTGTGAGAGATTCTTATGACAATTTTTAATTTGACAAAAAGACTAAATGTTGTCATACAATTATCAAAGGTCATGGGGTTAAAGAATGGTCGAGAGAGTAGCAGTGGAAACAGTGAGGCGAATGTAGGGAAACTTGACTCTTTTGATTATACTAACATAAATTTTGATGTAGAATCAGGGTGTTACAGTGAGGGAAGGCCCTAGGGTGTGCAATTATAACAACATAAGAAAGATGAAAATAGGTAAAAAGCTCTAGGAGTCTAGGGTTTGATAGTATTCCTATAAAAGTTCTGAGAGCCCTTGAGGTAGGTATAGTATTGCTAGCTAGATTATTGGATGCCTAATGAATGGAGAACGTGCACCCAGTATATGATAACAAATGAGATACCGTGGAAATTGTCCATAAATCGAGCTTATGAGCCATACAATGGAACTATGGGAGCAGGTCATTAAGCTAATATTAAGTTGATTGCCACTTAGAAGAAACATCAAACCATGTCCCAATAGATGAGCAACAGTGGGACAAGAAGATGCCGGAAACGGTGGATTCAGCAATGGTGACTCAGATGAAATCACACTTGAAGGTGGCATTGTCTAATACAAATCTGAATTTGATTTTATATCCAGACCTAACAAAATGAACGAGGGGATTTGGAGATGATATTGGACAAATCCAATGAGCATTATACATAGCACCTCATATGGATTACAAAGTAAAATGGGTGTAGATTCAGAGGGCTTTACCAAAGTCATTACTAGGAACAATTGAACAAAAACAAAGGTGGGGGATAAGAGTAGGAGAAGGTTAAACATTTGGGTATTCAGGAACGACTAGAAAAATCAATGGTTTAACTTGTTAAAGAAAATTATACTTCAAAAAGACAAACGTTTAACTTTTCAATGAGGCTGATCTTGTTGAATCTTAATAAGGATAGCAAGACAAAAGACTGGTTAAAGGACAAGGATTTGTAGAGTCAAGATATTAAAACTACTACCATGCAGGATAATGGTTAATTGGGTATTTTCAAATGAAACTAAATTCTATCATGCAAAGAGGTTGGGGCTTTTAATTGCAAAAAAAGATATGTCCAGGTTATGTTAGTTGTCTATACATAGTCTCTACCCTGTATGGCAAAGTAAAGGATGTATTTCTGCTAAGGAATTTTAAATCTTTTCCATACACGATTGATCCTAACAACTATGAATTAGGCATCTTTTTAAGTGTTTCCACTTAATTAACCTGGTCATGCATTGCCTTTTAATTTGTTCATGTAGGCAGAATCATTGAAAGGCATATGTGTTGCTTCTCAAGGTAATTAGGTAACCATACAAGCATGTGAGTACTAAACTGCAGAAGTACCAATTTACCATCCCTTACTTTTGATGCCCCTACTTTCTGGGAATCCTAGGACCAGTCAGGCTGGTAAATAAAGGAACTTGGATAGCAATAGAGATCTAAGTATATTATCAGAAGTATAACTTGGCCCTTCCTACTGGTTTTACCTGAAAATTTTCAACAGTTCTTTCCAGCTCTGCTATATACTGGAGTTTACGTACTCGTGACCGTTGAGCATTGTGCCTAAAAAGAATCAGTACCATAAATTTAGTTTTACAGTATGCAAAATTGTAAGATGCTAAAAAGAAAATTTTAACCAAACATCAAAATGGCAGGAAATATAAGATAGAAAATGATGGGCTAGTAATGAAAGTTATACAGGATTTACAGACATGAACTGGGTTTTAACATCCAAAAGCAACAAAGGCTTAGAACTTCAGAGCTAAATAAGTGTAACTTATATAAATATGCATGATCAAGACATTTCCTTGAATAATTATAAATCATTTCAAGTCAAACTCATTATAATAAAGGAAAAGCAAGACGGTGTAAAATCAGAAAAGAGTTTAACAAGAAACACTTTTAGTGATGCCTATGCTTAAATGTACAAGCATAAAGATCCTTGAGTCCTACAGGCCTTTCTTTACCCAGGTACATTAACACATGAGAGATGAGACACTCATGGTTTTCGGGGTCATTTGATGATGGATTGTGGAAGCTTCTTTGGGGGGGTTCTCTGGGCCATGATGGGTACATGGTGGAGCAGAGAGTTGTTTCCTGATGGTAGAGGCTGTTAGTTGAATTGAATTCCAAATCAAGGTTAGAGTTTTCGGATGATTGCAATAATGGTTCGAGGATAAATATCCATGAGCATTGTTTTGAGATTTTGTCTAGATTCAACTTTGTAATTTTCGTTAGATCCTAAAACCCATTTCATAGTTGGTGTAAATCCTAAACCCAGTGAAAAGCAAGTGTGCTTCCCAGCTTCAGATTAGAACTATGAACATCCTTTTACATATAATAAAGGAGATTATAACATGTGAGCCCATTAAAATAACTTGGTCACCAACTCTAACAAGAAAATAAGGCAGAAACAGTAAGTTATACCCTATGGACTAAGACCCCAGAGCATGAAAACAGAAATATATTCTATTAAAGGAAACTTAAATTTGTTCAAGGAAAAACAATAAGCATGTTTACATCTTGAACCGAAATGAGCTATGGCAGGGGTTGACAAAGATGGATCAGGAAATTCAACTAGAGACCCATATTATATGATTCAAACTAGACATACAACCTAGACTTCAGGTAAAACGAGACCTATATTGTATAATTCCAACTAGATGGACAAGCATAAAGTTTCCGAAATTCAACAATAAGTTCGGAGCAAAATTAATTGAAACTCAGTCAAGTTGACAAATATATATAAGTATAGCACTTTTGTTTCATATAAGTTGGAGTAAGTTTAATACTCGACAAAAGAAACAATTGTTAGCATATCAACTTTAATGTTTTCTTGATTTCTTTCATTATTGTAAATGTATTCATCAATGATTTTTTTTGCAATACCCCGCAGTTTTAAAATTAGTCAAACTTCACACAACAAACGTATAAAGACTCTGAATTAAAGCCAGCACTGTCTTCAAGTGTGAGGCAAGATAAGGTGACAGGTCCTAACACCCAAGGTAAGAAGCAAGGGTTAGGTACTCACCGGGGAAAATAAGGTGCAATGGGCTAAAATATTAAAAATATAAAGATTTCACATATTACATCTAAAATGATCAATTATATCATCTTATATTCATGATAAACACCAAAAATCATATATATCAATGATAAACGGTCCAGAGAACAATATATAAATGTATAGTGAGTGCAACAAGGAGAAAGCTGACTTGATGAGGAACTCCTATGGTGATTTGTTTCTACTCAAAAGCAACTCTCCTTCATAAACCCGTAATCTTTCACATATTTCTTAATTTCTTTTTAGATCTTTTAATTAAATAGAAGCGATAGTGGTCATCTTTCATCATCGTTCTATCACCTACCCACCCAAAATAGTCAAGCAAGATGACCTCACAACACCTATTCAAGCCTGTAAATCATGCGCCCAGCAATGGCATGAATTAACTTGTTAGGACAATAAGGTATAAGATTTTTGGGTGTATGTTTCAGTTTTGAACCTAACCTTTTAAATGGCTTAGCCTCAATACCGACTTCACCAGCTGAACCACAAGTATCTTGTACTGAATCAAGTTGTGGAAATCCAGAAAGGAAAAGATCTTTATCCACATATTGCACAGGACCATGAGAAGCATACTCTGATAAAGCTGAGACTATAGCATTCTCTTGAATGGATACTTTCTCCTTGCTCCGAGGTGAGTTAGGACCATATATACAAGCAGACTCCAATGCAGTAGCAGCAGTACATGCATCTCTAGAACATGCATTTTTATCAACTTTTTCTGTGTTCAGACTCGGCAATTCAACAAGGCCATCCAAGACAGTTCCAGAATCGCTAGCTGCACGACGATGAGATTTTTGTTTGAAACCTGGGTCCCAATCACCCAACAGATCATCTAACCACGCTGGCTGCTCCTCCAAAACAAAACTTTGTGATACAGATTTCTGGAGCCGCACGTCGGACTTTTCATCTTTGCAGATGACTGAAGAGAGAGGATCACAATTTGAGGAATTTGTCTTTGGAATTGGACAGCGAGGCGGAAGTTGAGGTTGCCTCGACATGATGAACTAAAATTCTGTACCTCGTGAGCACTAAAACGTAGGAAGCCAACCCCAAATCTGTCACCCTCACAATCTATATACCAGATACTCTCAGATAAGAAAGAATAACCAATTGCCAATAAACTTTAGGACACAACGAACTAAAAGAAACCATAAAACAGAAATAAGAAAGCTTAAATAACATGGTTCACATCTGTTCCTAGAGATTTTCCACAACAGCAATCATAATGAAAACATGTTCAACGACTTATTTTTCAAAACCTCATGGCATTTTGAATAGTCGACATCTTTAACAACTTAAACAGAACCGATTAGCTGGGTTCAGAAATTTGCTTCTGACCCTTTTACCAATAAATGTAAATATCACATAGCAAAAACATACTTCCTTCATCGACCGAAATTGCATCATATCTGGCTAGCATTTTTAGGGGCTATTTGTTCTATTGGATTACAATACTTCTGCATTTACTCTTGTAAATACATGCACTAAGGTTGAAATAGTATTGTTATCAGTAAAATAACTTATGAAAACACTTTAATTAGATGAAACAAAGAAGCTCACAGTAGCATACCAGAAAGTATAGTGCAATTTTTATACAGTGAAGGTAGTTGAAAAAAAACCTAGTTGTTCGTCTACTAACTCAGGAACTTCGAAAAAAACAGCAGTCAGCAATTCTCTCTTTTCCAAAACAGAAAACATAAGAGTACAATAGCTTCACTCTCTGATGACCTTGCCTTAACAAATGCAAAAAGCCCATGAGCATCATGACATAGGTAAAAGGGAATTGATATAAATTTTGATATTTATATATATCTAACACCAACATCATTCCATCTGTGGTACATACTGTACAGTTTGACCATAGTCAGCAATATTTTCTTGAAACGTTTTCATTCCTTGCTGATTTTGAAGCTACAGAACTTGTTCGACATCAAAATTCAAAGTACAGGCATACACGCAAATAAGGAGTAGAAACGTTTTGCTTCTTGGTTCACGTACAAATCGATTTTACTTCTGGGCTCATGTACCAATCAGCGTAGAAACAAACGAATATAAAGAACGTAGTAACTCGACTATTTAACTATTGAAAACCTAGTCGATGAACTGCAAACTCATAGTGTACAGATAAACAGCAATCCACCATTAACCGATGCGCAATACCCCCAAACACATCAAAACCCCAGTACACCAAAACCAAATGTAGTTGAAAACATCAAGATAAGTAGAAAATTTATCCACACAGACCTGACTTTCACCGATTATTCTCCAAATTCTGGAAATAATCAGTCAGACAACGGACCCATCATACCAAAAGCAGCAAGAAACAAGCAATCAAAGTCTTCATCATGCAATCGGAAAACCCAGTGACAGACAGAAGTAAAGATTAACAATGTGTTAAAGAATGAAAGGAATTTTACCTTTTTTCCCCGATTTTCGAGAGAGAATATATTTTGTATGGAGATACGATGCGTAGAGTGTGAAGCATATATCTCCAGCTGAGCGACTCAAGCCGTCACGCTTTGCCTCTTTACACGTTGGCTCGGTGACGCCTTTGTCCAAGTGGTTTCATTATTTTTATGCAAACACCAAATTTTTTGCAAACGTGACCTTAAATTATTCATAGTAGTCGTGCATTTTTCTTTTTAAGTTGTTATATTTTATTGATAAGTTTTGTAGTCATCCATTTTTTTTGTTATTATAGATTTAAAATGTAATTAATGAATTATTTACGTCTTTTTATATTTTTGGTTTTTATTTTGAAATATCTATGAATTACATCCTGTATTTTATAACATATTGGTTTCCTAAATATAACTTCAACCAAAAAATTTGTTAACTCAGTTAGTTTAGAGGACCCAATATGTTGTAAAATGCAAACAACATGGATTACTCTATAGATATTTAAAAATATGGACCCAAAGTGTTAAAACACATAAACCACAGGGACCAAAAACTCAAATGTAATTGACCTTTATTAATAAAAATAAATTGTGGTTTTTAATTCATCTATGACAATTGTTAAATAAGATCACAAGATAAGGGTTAAGTTCCTTTATGATGTTTCGTTTGTTTTTTATTATTATCTCTCGTGAAAAGACCATCTGAACGTGTTTCAAAATGGATTTCAGTATTTTTACAACGTGATTGATATGTGTTGAGAATTTAACACATAACGCGCTCTTTTTAGGATTTTTTAGTTACAATAATTTCTTTTCATTCCCAAATTGAGTCATTTTCATTTATTTCTTTATACTTTTGTTATTATGAAGCTAAATGTTGTGGTTGACTTGATGGCATGCAAAATTGAAGCTAATTTGGAGTTTTTGTGAAAACAGCAAATGCTACAGCATTGGTGCAGCGTTGRCCTGGGTCTTGCACGACTTTTTGGAGGGCTTAATGAACAAGACGTTGGCTTTTTGGAGRTGGAGTACAGCTGTAAATGGGCTGGATTTTTAGTAGAAAATCAGATGTACTCTCTAGTTAAGCTCATGTACTCTCTAGTTTGCTTCATGTACTTTCTAGTTAAACTTTAGTTGGTTTGTAATTTGGCTTGAAAGACTTAGCCTACAAGTCTTGTTATTTTGTCACCTTGTGCCCCTTTTTGAGTATAAAAAGAGGGTTTGGGGTGCCTTCTAAGCCATCCTTCATTGGATCCTTTACCCAATTAATCCATAATCCTTTGAATTCTCCCAACTTTTCTCCCAACTTTTCTCTCTTTTGCTTTAAACCCTCTTCAAGGGTGTTCTTCATGTTCTTCATGTTCTTCTTCATCTTTTTATTTATTTAATTTCTTGTCTTTTATTTTCCGCTATTTACTTTCTCGTCTTTACATTTCCGTCATTTATATTACGTTATTTACATTCCGTCATTTATTTTACGCTATTTACATTCTCGTCATTTATATTCCCGTCATTTACTTTATTGTCATTTACATTTCCGTAATTTATTTTATCGTCATTTATTTTATGCAATTTATATTTATGTCTTTATTTTACGTCATTTATTTTTTACTTTCCGTTATGAGTAGCTAAGCTTTTATAGTTTGGGTGTGAGACGGAAAGGTGAGATTTTTAAACCAAACGAAAGTAGCTAAGTGTTGTAAACGACGTTTCATTGTTTCATTCGAGTTTTTATAAAACCAAGCACACTTCTTGACGGGTTGATCACTTGAAAGTGTTAAAGTGCGATGGACTTAGAGATAAGCCATCATTAAGCACGTCAACTTGGATGACATAAGAGGTAGACTTGAGAAAGTTGCCGACAAGGAGACTTGTCATTTATGTTTTTCAAAACGTAACTCCCGACGGGTTGGTCGCTTGTCAAAAGTGTCAAAGTGTGATATATTCAGAGATGAAATATCAAGAACACGCCAACTCGAATGATATGGGAATCGACTCGAGAGAGTGATTTTTAACGAAGAGATTTGTTTATCCATATATTTTGAAAACACCATCGTGTCACTATCCCCGGTCCGGACACCACATAGAGATATGGGTGGAAAGCTATAAGATAGTGCAATGGTGAAGTCCGAGAGGAATGCCTTCAAAATAGATGGTGGAACTTAGTTTCGAAACACTGCTTGCTGTAGCATTGCTACAGCATTGGCTGCTGGAATTTGTGTTTGGGTCTCACCTTAAGTCTTACACCCTTGCTTCTTTTATTTATTCTGTATTCTGTTTTGGATAATCTTAAAATCAAAGAAAAGTCTTCAAAATCGTCATCTGAAATCATCTCTTTCATTGGACTCTAATCTAACTTTGGCTACAATCTCTGTGGACGATAATCCGGTACTTGTACCACTTTATTACTTGGAAAGGCGACGTTGGGCCGTATTGTATACTTGCTTTTTGGCCCAATTTCATTAGTCTGAAGGTGTGAGTGATTCCGAAAAAGAGAGTAGGCGACACTAGCATTTGTATCCATATAGTGATTCGGATCGTGTACCACCTTTTTATAATTTAAAATTTGTCATTACATTTATGGATACCCTTTATAAGACATGTGAATTGCATTTAATGAAATTGATAGGAAACGTAGTCCAACTTGCAATCACAAATGTGCGTAAATACATTGTCCAAGGAACCCAATCTGTCGGTAATTGCTAGACTCATGAGTTCGGCTTTTGCTTTTTTATGAGTGAAAGGGGCAATCTCAAAAAAATTATTGAACGTGATTGTGGGAGACATCAAATCATGGCATATGGAGTGGTACAGTGTTTATTAATCAAGTATTTTATGGTGAAATTCGTATTTTCAATCACACCCTCTCAACATTACTGACTTGCTTCCGACATGCTATCAATCATACTGACATGACATGTTTTAGCATGACTTGTATTTTATGTAGAAGATATTTCACCATTTGGTTGAAATGTTTTGTAGATCACTTACAAAAAGAACGTTGATATAATTCACGGATTGTGTGATGATGGTGAATTTCAAAGGTTTTATTTACAATTTTTGTCATTTCTGAAGATCTTAAATTATATTAAGACGAGACAGATTAGCGGAGGAGATGGTTCAAACATCAAGACTAAACCAAGTCAGTCATGGAGGTTCGCACCAAGCCACCAACATCTAAACATCAACCCTTGTCGTCCTCTTGTTCTCCAAGCTCCTGAACGAGAAAAATACGTCTTTATCAACAATAACATACATTTTTTTAACTTTGTTACTATAACGTAAATATATCTTAAAAGCATCTTCATCATGGAACTAATATATGATTAAAACTTAATATTTTTAGAAATAATTATATTTAGTTGATAAATAAAAACTTATTATCATAAAACTAGTCTTATGTTGATATAAAAATGGGTACGTTTTAGGCCATGATGATAAAACAAACACTTTTCAGATTTATGATGCTAAAACGTGGTCAATTATTAAAAAAATTATGGTCATTCAATCACATATTTTAAACAATTTTTTTCTTTTGTAAAAGCTAATAAAGTTTTTAAAAAATTCATATATGGCAACGGTATTTAAGTTTATTTGAAACGATGGACCAAATATCTTTTGGTTGAAAAATAAAACAAGTCTATGAACGGTTCATTTTGATTTATAAAAAAATCATAACGAAACAAATTGAATGGAGCAAACTAAGGAACACCTCCAACTTTCGGTATATGTATAATGAAAGGTAGTTTAATCCAACTTGGGAAAAATAGATGTTATATTATATGTTTTCCTTTAGAGAACAAGTAGTATTTGACTTCAACCATACAAGAGCCTCTTAAAAATCATCTCATAAAAAAAATATGTTTCTCAAGATTGATAAAACAAGAATAAATTATAACGTAGTTTCTAGACATATGAGATATGTAACATTGTTCACTATACATACTAATCATACAGCGAAGGATCATGTGAGGAAAATTATGATGAAAAGTGTAAGAAAATACATGAACTCTTAATCACTTTTGATCCCATGCCCACCTATGAATTTAGGCATGGGAATGACCCCCTTGACCTATTGGGGAACTCGGTCCACCCGCTATGGTTGGGACAGGGATTTTCCGCTAAACCAGGGATGGGGACGGGACGGTATCATTCCCTGGCTCGCCCTATACACGTTATATATTTATACTATCTTATAAAGCATTTGGCTAAAACTCTTGAAAACTCTTAAAAACTCTTAAAAAAATCTTAAACTCGTTCATCCTTAAACGATTTCATCCCATATATGAATTCGTGTAACTAACTGCAGATAAACACAATTAAATACAGGATAAACATCTCATTTTAAATATAAAAAATCTAAAATATAATTAAGATAATCATTGAGTTCTAACATAATACTTAATTATTATCTTTAT